CCCCCCCAACTTATTACAAATCCAATTGTAACTCAAACGCCTTCTATGACGAGGATAGACACCACAGTTGGTTGAGCTCTTACATCTATAAATACATAACATAACCTCATTACTCAGGTACGCAATTCAATAATATTCCAGCTTATAATTTGTTGTAATTCCTCTATCTGACTTAAGCATCGGAGGGGCGACGAGGACACCCCTCGACGCCTTTGTTTCAAGTATTGAAGGTCGCAACACGCAGAGTTCAACCATCCGATCCCGGTCAATCCAAGTATGAATTTTTGATAGCGTCATTATGTAATGACTCGAGATTCATATCGATGAAATATCGATTTTACTAAGATGGAAGTAAGTAACCGCTGAGCAACCAGATACTGAAAAAAAATTGTGGGCCCAGAGAATTAAGATAGTGATTGATTTTCACGAGATTCTTGCTTGCTTTATTTCTCAAATTTTCATCAAAACAGTGTAAATTGCAATAAAGCATCTTATAATGAAAAAAATAAATGTAAAAAATAAAGTAACTTATAAGTAACTTATAAGAGAAATTTACATTTGATAATGGTTTAAATGAGACTAGAAAAAAATGACAAATACTGTTGTGTCCTTAATAATCAACATAAAATATAAAAGTTATAATATTCTGTGTATAATTTACATAAGAGTATGTTGTTTATTTCTATCGCGATAATCACTACATTATTTAAGTGGATCTCATATCCATATAATTAATTGGTCTTATCATTTTGAATTATGCTATATAGCACAAGTGGTGTTTAGTATATAATAGTACAATGTCCTTACAAATCCAATTAAACGAATATTATTATTTATCTAAACTCAAGTGTAATTAATTGATAACAAGTAGGCGAATGCCACCTAATTGCCATAGTTTAGATAAATGATATTATTCAACTTAAATGTGGTTATATGAGACCCATTAAATTGGACCTTTGAATTGTGAATTGAAATATCACGTAGATCGCTGTTAAGCATCTCTTGAGCTACATTCATAGCATATCACCCGCTACATAAGTTGGCGATAATCCCCATTGGAGATAAATAACATTATTATCGAGACACACTAATCCTAAATTAAAGTGCCACTTACCGTTGTTTAAACTTAGCCAATGTTTGGTAGAGATTTTTTAGAGTATATTTTGGAGAAAATATGGGTAAAAAGCAAGAGAAATTTATGAGTGCATTGCCATATTATTTTATTAGAAGTCGACGTTGTTAAAAATAAGTTTGAGAAAAAAATTTAAAAAAATAAGGGTGAAATAATGCCTTACAAAAATCTATTATGCTACATTTCGTAAAGTGAATTATGTATGATGTGATGAAGAGTAAAAGAAGAAGAAAAAGGTTTTGAACTTTATTGAGTCCAATCATGCTATATCTTTTTTTTTTTTTTTTAAATACCAAAGAAAATTGAGCTTCATGTTTGTACTTTGTTCTAAGCCATCTTATTTCTCTACTGATTTGAAGCATGAGATCATCATCTAATCTTCTTATGCAGAGTGAAAATATGCAACAATCAATGAATATAATTCTCATATTAAGGTTATTCGTTAAAAATGACTATGAACTTTACTTTTTCACATTTCTTTAGTTTTTTACTAATCTCGAACCAGATATAAAATCTTAATTCATAATAAAAAAAATTTCAAATTTTATTTAAAACGTATAATGTCATTCAATACTGCTTGCTAAACATTTCCGACTTATCTTCTTCTCACAAGCTAAATCGTGTTCAATACTGCGTGCTAAACACTCTCAGCATATCTTTTTTTCACAAACTTAGCTGTGTTCACGATTGCGTGACAAACGCTCTCAATTTGTCGCCTTCTCACAAACTTAGCTGTATTTAATGATTACTCGTATAGTCGTATTGTCTTACATCCTAATTTGAGATATGAAGAAAACAAAAAGTAGTAAGTGTACTTTTTCCAACAAACTCACTTCATAAATTCCATAAAAAATGCCATATAATGCACATATAAATGCATCATTTATACATATACACGCACATAATACATACACATCACCCCCCACACCACACCACACCACACCACACCCATCCAACAATGTAATGATTAGACAGCAGCCATGAAAACGTTATATTTGAAGCTTTTGCTGTTATCTATCATATTGCTTCACCCATTGAAGAACTCTCTCCTGGTAAAGGCATAGAGCCATTTCACGTTCTCCATTCTTTTAACGCCCCACACCACATCCTCCTCTTTATATATATCAAAAGGAGTTATTTAAGCCAGCCCATCAATATATTTTCAAGAATTTTAAGAGAGGGGGAGAAGAAATGTTGTCAAGAACTAATAGTATGCCGTGGATGGATAGAAACAAAGAAGTAGAAGAAACAAATTTATGGACTCAAAACAATAACAATGGCGGTATGGAGAATAAAGATGATGCAGAACTTGGTGCACTTTCTTCATTTAAATCTATGATCGAAGCTGAAAATGAAGCCGGCTGGTACATGTCGGTCACCGCCACTCCCACCGCGGCCAACAGCCATGAAATAGACATGCATGGCGGCAGTCATCTTGACCTGGGTAACATCTCTTTTTCACCCAAGTTTACTGATGCTGATAATAATCATCCGGTTTTACAGCAAGTGGATTCTTCTGCTTCATGCTCACCAACATCTGCTTCGGTTCTCAATTCTTTGGATCTATCTCATCAGTTAAACTATTTTCTGCCACTAAAATCAACACTAATGAATCCAATTCACAGAAATCTTTTAGAGGAGACATTTGATTTGGGTCGTGATCATAGGTTTCTTGAAAGTGCTTTCAACCAGGGAACTGGGATGCTGAATAATGGTTTTAATGATTTAAGTACTCAATCCCAAATGGGCACTCTTAGTTGGAGCTCTAATAATCAGTTTTCAACTAATAATTTGCTTCAACAGCCTCAATCTAGTGGGGGTTTTGGAGTAATGGGATTTGGAGAGGGTTCCATGGATGGGAATCCATTGTTACTTAATAGGTCTAAGATTTTGAAGCCACTTGATGGTTTTGCTTCAATTGGATCACAACCCACACTCTTTCAAAAAAGGGCTGCTCTAAGGAAGAATCTTGATAGTGGGAGTGTCAGCAATTTGGGGGCTTTGGGTTTAGGTGGTGAAATCAATCATTCTCGAAGTTCTACTAGCCTTGAAGGCTATGACAAGAAGGGGGAATTTAGTGACGTAAATGAGAGGAAGAGGAAAAACAGTAGCGGGGATGATGGGGAGGATTTTAGCATTGATGGGTCCAATTTGAATTATGACACTGATGATCTATTTCTGGAGAATAGTACTATCAATAAGGTGGAAGAGAGTGGTAAAAATGGTGGAAGTGGCTCGAATGTTAATAGCAGTGTCACCTGTGGTGGTGGTGGTGGAGATCACAAGGGTAAGAAGAAGGGGTTTCCTGCGAAGAATTTGATGGCTGAAAGGCGACGGAGGAAGAAGCTCAATGATCGGCTTTACTTGCTGAGGTCTGTTGTACCAAAGATTAGCAAGGTATGGATTTCTTTACAGAAATTTCTCGTGAATTATAGCTTATAGTTATCGACATGTTTCAGTCGTTCACATTCATCCATTCTTTGTTCTTTGTATTTTATTTTATTTTTCATTCAAATTTTAAAATTGGTTCAATGAGTCGCAATATTTTGATATGCATATTTGTTCGAACAGCATGCACATTAAATTCGTATGATAGCATTAAATTGCTCACATGAAGTCTATGAACTGATTCCAAAATGTGTAGTGAGTTTAGGACCACAGTTCAGATTCATTTGAAATTTAATAAATTAAAATAATGAAACACTAGAATTTACTTCTTCAGCGACATTTTGAACAAGATAATAAAATTTGCAATTCTGAAACTATACTTCGGTAATCTGTAACCTTTTTTCTTAGTCATTATACCTTTTAAGATAACCATTTCTGATGCATGTATCTTGTACACTAGTTTCTAGTGCATGAGTCATGCACTTTAGTTTCTAGAGCACGCGTCTTGCACATTAAATTCTAGCTAGTATCTGATGCTCGTGTCTCGCACGCTATCTAGAACTTAAATTTTTAAAATCTTTCTATACTCTCGGGTTATTGTTATTTTTTATTTTGTTACAATAAAATCATGAAAAATAAAACACGTCTTTTAGATACTAGTGGGATGCTTTTTCTTATACATATGGATTTTCCTAATTTACTTCTTGAAAATACTTGTGATAACATTTATGATTTTCCTTTGAGTAATTACTAAAATAAATTCAAGATTATGTTTTTCATGCATTTCCTAATAAGGTTGAATAACCCATAGTTCATACCAAAAACCCATGGCATGCTTGTCTCCCTGGAAAATTTATTCCTTAATTTAACATCTTCCTAAACATCTACTTAACTCACAGTTCATGGACATGCACACATTAGGCACATGCATATATGGAGCTACGTTAGTCCCTTCCTATCTACAATTACTTCAGATCAAAGCCTTACAAAAAACTTGTAAGCACTTGACTTAGAGGGAGCAATTTAAGCGTACTTAATTTATGTTTCTGATTTTTTAAATTATTACGCAGTTACAGAAATATCATTTTTAAGATCCATGGATATGCTATCTGTCTAGGTCATGAGATGAATTAACTGAAATGTATTTTGGAAATCATTCTAATATTATCTTTGTTGCTTCCTTTTAAAGAAAGGAAGGATATCGATCTTTTGTGGCCTTGAATTTACTGCCCTCTGAACTGCTTTTGCACCTATGTGTTTCTTCTGCATTGATAGATGGACAGGGCCTCAATCCTAGGGGACGCGATCGAGTATTTAAAGGAACTGCTGCAGAAGATCAATGACCTGCATAGTGAACTGGAGTCCACCCCTTCTAGCTCTTCATTGTCTCCACTCTTGAATGTCTATCCTTTGACGCCTACAACACCGGGCCTTTCCTGCCGTATCAAGGAAGAACTATATCCAAGTGCATTTGCTAGTCCATTATCTAGCCCAGTGGGACAATCCACCAGGGTGACTTCATTAATTTAATTGCAAACTTTCCAATCTTTGTTAATTTTACACGTTTATTCTTGACTGTTTTTTAAGTTTGATTCTAGAGTATTTATGATGAGAAGTCCTATTGGGATTGGTTATTTTCTTGTGGAGCTTGTTTGCAGTTAATGAATAGTGATCCATATTTGTAGATTGAGGTAAGGATAAGAGAAGGGAGAGCTGTAAATATTCACATGTTTTGTGGGCGAAGACCAGGCCTTTTGCTCTCCACTATGATGGCTCTGGACAACCTTGGCCTAGACATTCAACAAGCTGTGATTAGCTGTTTCAATGGGTTTGCATTGGATATCTTTCGAGCTGAGGTAAGCTTTTTTTACTTTCAAATTTGAACACCCCTGCCCCCTCCCCCTTCCCAGGCATGGTATCTGAAACAATACTACGTTAGAATGATAATGGGGAGATTAATTCTCTCATCCCATCAATTGTGCACACGAGACGCACCGAGACCAAAATATTTATCACGTTAAATCAATTAATGAATTAAAACTTTTATATCTGTGTAAAAATTTGTGTAGTTATAGTGCTCCTTACAGATTGATAATACCATGCTAGAAGGATAATAGGGAGATTATTTACGTCACCAAAAATTGGGCACACGAGTTTCTCATTGAGACTGGCGCTCTTTTTCCCATTAGTCAATCAATATTTTGGAGATCAGAACTTTTATGTGTGTAAAAAACTGTAAATTTGCAGAACAGCCCTCCCCTCCCCCTTTTATGAAACAACACTATGTTATAAAGATAATACAGAAATTAATATTGTCACCCCATCAATTGGGCGCAAGGAGATGCACTGAGACCGAAATATTTTTCCTATTAATCAATTAATGCATTAGAACTTTTATCTTTGTGTAAAAATTAGTGTAGTAGCGCTCCTTATAGAAAGATAATGGGAAGATTAATTACATCACAAAAAAATTGGGTGCAAGAGAAATCATTGACGCTGGAGTCTCTTTCCCATTAGTCAATCAGTATCTTGGAGATTATAACTTTTATCTGTGTAAAAAGTAAAAAAAAAAAAACAGTATATTTATAGAACACTCCTTCCCTCTCCCCCTTCTTGGGACTGGCATTACCAAAACAATTGGGCCCACTAGATGCATTGAGACAGTATATTTTTAGAGCTCCTTATAGAACTCAGTTCTACTTGATCGTGTTGGCAATACATCCATAACGATCACATTCGTGAAAGTAAACCTGCAATAAGTTTTTACTTTGTACTGAGTCTCCGATTCAATGAACTGAGAATATTTATATTTTATTTAGTTTTTTCCTGAAGAAAAACAAAAAAATTCCACCTCGCGGGGGTGGGATACTATCCCTGTGAGGTACTTCGATTACTGATTAGTCATTGACATTGTCTTTTTCTTTCTGATTTCTTTTCTTGACCAATGCTGTCTTCAGCAATGCGAGGATGGTCAAGACCTCAATCCAGACCAAATCAAAGCAGTACTCCTGGATTCTGCTGGCTTTCATGGGACAGTGTAAGGATTCATATAAAGTGAAGTGTACAAGTTTTACTGAGAATCTGAGATGTTACACTTCGTATGTGGTTTGATGATGCAGCAGGATGATCTTTCTTATGAGCAACGACCTTATGGAGAAACAAAACTAGTTGAAGTACTTTGCTTATCAAGTTTGCCTGTGTTTAGTTTACATTTGCATCGATTAAGTTGCTGCTTTTTTCTCTTTTGTTTGGACAAATTTCCAAGGCAGTGAAACTTGAGCGATTTGGTATCTATTTCGCCTTTTGAATGCTATGTTCATTATAGCTTTCTCTTCCTTTTTCTTGACCATAACTGTAGTGAAGTGTTGGTGCAAATGCCATGCTTTTAGATTTGGAAAAAACATGAGATGTGTCTTGTGTTCCATGTGAACAAGATCCTCTTTTTGTACCTTGATAGAGGAGATGACCAGCAGTACTAGATGACCGAGGGACAAGTAATTACACTCATTTCCTTCAGAATTTATGTTATGCATTATTTTCTTTGCTTATTCTAATCGTGGCCATTGAGTTACTCTTTGCTGGCCTTTCACAGTAGAGTTGAGAACATAGCTACTTGAAGATAGAGAGAGTGTGTAATCATGTTGTAGACCCCAAATTGGAAAGGTCTTTTCTCGTTAGTCATCAAAGTAAATAAGCCTAAATAAAGTGTGGGTTTGTGCTTCATAATTGGGCTCTGCTCAAATGAAGGATGCCCCAAAGAACAAATGAATGAGGCGGCCCAATGATGAGATCCATTCGAGTTTGCCCAATAATTGGAGAACACTGAAGTCGCCCTGAAATGCGATTCTACTTCAGATGCGTGTTCCATAAGATGGTGACGTGATGTTTTCGGCCTTTGAATTGAGGTCTTTGTGAAGAGTTTATGCACGTGCCTGGTTTAAAGAGGTAGAAATCTTGCACTAAATGAAAAACCTTTTTAACGCAACCCAAATGCCAATCTTCAGAAGAGTTTTGAATAGTAATTTTTAGGAAAATGTATGGTTAAAAAGGGGAGAGAATTTTTTAAAAATATTTTATTATGTGAATGTATAGTTGAAATTGATCGTGTAGTAAACCATAAAATAAATTAATAATTGTCAAATGGCACATGATCTTAATTAGACAAGAACTTTTCATACCAGTAAAGTATTCATGACAGTACTGCAGAACATGTGCAGATCCCTTCTAATGGAAAACTCAAATTCAATCAAGACTTGTTTTGTTCGACGCTGACTCATTTAGGATCAACCAATTCGCAGGGGAATACGGAGTATAGCAGGAGGAACTATAACAAATTTGGGGATTTGGAGTTACGAAGGATTAGTTGGGGCACATATAGCATTGGGTCTATTTGGGATCTAGAAATATTTTCTCGCCCAGCACTGATTTGTTGAAGTCCATTTCGTAGTTGTTGATGTTTGTACCGACATATCATAGAAGAGAAATTTTGATTCAATACTTGGTATTGATGTCCTCGTAACACTTTGGACTGCACCAGTGAATTTTAGAGTGCTAACCTCGTTTATGTGCTCAACTGGTGAATTTCTCTAAAGATAAACATCTGACCCCTTGAATTGAAAATCTCTGTTCATTTTTAGTTTCAGGTCTGAATGCTTGTTGAGCTTGAAACTGGAACCCAGCATTTAGTTATCTTCGTGTAAAAAATTAGTTCGTTCTTCAAATCACGAGCTTCGTCATTATTTCATCCCGTCCTCTCCTGTGCCCACTACTTCTTCTCCCTTTTCCACTCAGCTTGAAATTTAATCAAGTTACCAAATTTGCCTACACATAAACTCCCATACCATGGCTACTTCACTGCTCTCTTCCACTCTCAAAACATTCTTCGAACATTAGTTAAAACCCAGCCTGGTGTTCACAAATTTACGGAAGCTTCCAATTGGGTTTCCATCCTGCAAAACAACAGCAACTACACACATCCCTAAGAGCACTGAGAGAATATTTAGACTAGAATTGCTGGGAGCACTCCCTGTAGGAGAGACCCCTCCAAAAATAGGCGTATGCCGCTAAATTGCGACGAGCACACGGTATTCTTTAGTAAAAGGCGAAAGAATAGTTCGCTTTGTGCTCATCGCACGGCTGCGTGCTTTATAAAGGTAATGAGCAGCTCTTTTATAGCCGTTGCTTCCCTCCTCCCTGAAGTTAGTAACCGATGTGGGACAAAACAAAGCCATCACTTCAACTAACGACTTCTCTTCATTGACCAATTCTTCCCCTGTATAACCCAATAAACACGACTTCATCTGTTTTCACTAAGAACAGTATACTTACATGTATAAACAATTTTTCTTCACTTAAACAAGTTACAAAATAATAATTTTTCTACTAATAAACATGTAGCTTTGTGTTAATTCTAGATTCAATCAAAATAAAACAGCACAAATTAAATTACAACCTATCGTTTGAAGGAACAAAGACGATTTTTTTTTTAAGGTTAAATGAAAGTGAAGAATAATAAGAACTATTAGCATTCAAAGTTGTCTATTTGAAAGCGACATGTTGTATCACTATTTAATTAGAAGGTCACAAAGTATCAAATATAGTTGTTTCATTGTGCATAGAGTCATGACCATATCAAAACATCAAGAATTGAATTGAATGTTTTGAAGACACACAACTGTTACTTTTTAAAAAAATGACATGATACAGTTATAAATTTGTGAAACTCATAATTCTATGACAACATCAGTTCAAGGACTATCAACTATCGAAGAATGTGTTATTGATATTTATAAAAGAATATCGAGGAGTTGAAGAAATCAAAAATGAAATAGGAAGTGAAATTATTTGAGTTGTTAGTATGAAGAAGAAGCCACAAAAGAAAAGAAAGTTTGAAGATTTATGAAACTTGAGCGTTTGAATTTTATTTTTATTTTGGATTGTCTTTCAATTTTTTTTACTAATACATAATAGAATATTTTTTTTTTTTTATTATTTTGGATTGTCTTTCAATTTTTATTTATTTATTTTTTTCGCTACTATATAATCTAATACATATTAGAGACTCTATAAGTTATTTTTTTTCTTTTGAAATAAAAATACTAGTAGTATGTTACTTTTGAAATAGAAAAATTTAATTGTTGAGACCTACGAAAATTCAATCGATTAAAATGACTTTGCTAACCTCATTGTTTATGTGATTTAGGGTGTGTTTGAGCCACATTATTTTGGAAGAATATATTTTGAAATAATAGATTGATGTTAAATATATGGTTGAAAAAGAATGAAAAATTATTGATGTGATGTATTTTGGAATAATAGAGTTGTTTTTTCAGATTAATCTGGATTATATATCATTCTCAAACGTATTATTAGATGATACTTATCGCATACAAGGTTTGTCATTTTAAAACAAAAGGTAGCAAACACTTTACAATCGAATTTCACGTAAAATTTACAGTTAATTAAAAAATAATGATAATTAATCTATTTTCTTGATTTTGGGTCGTACTAAACCTAATTTCCGCTTTAAAAAATCCCCATAACAGGTACCCCAAAATTCCGAAGCAAATGACAAGTAAATGAATACCGCTTAATTGTCCCATACTTCAAGAGTTCATATAAATAGCATTACTCTGCTTAAATGTGGGGGTATGAGGTTAAATTATTTGGGTTTATCATTATAAATATCTACATACTTAGACCTTTTTTAACATTTATTTAGTTTTATCACCCTTGAACCAAGTGTAAGATCTCAATTCATAATAATAGTAGTTCAAATTCTTTACAGCAAATAATTTCATTTAATCTTACGTGTAAAACGTTTCTTAATTATCTTTTTTTCACAAACTTAGCTGTGTTCAATACAGCGTGCTAAACGTTCCCTACTTATCTTCTTTTCAAAAACTTATTTGTGCATAGTGCGTGTTGATACGCTCCCTACTTGTAGTCTTCTCACAAACTTAGCCGTATTTAATAATTACTCTTACTGTCTTATGTCCTAATAAGAGATATGAACTAGAAAGTGTACTCTTGTCAACAAACTCAATTCATAAATTCCATAAAAAGCTATATAATGCTCATTCATGCATCATATACACTTATCCATGCACATGATACATACACATTACCCCTACCCCTCCCCCTCCCACGCCCATCCCACCATGTAATGATTAAACAGCAGCCATGAAAACGTTACATTTGAAGCTTTTGGTGGTATCTATCACATTGTCCACCAATACAAGAACTTTCTTCTGATACCATTTCACTTTCTCCATTCTTTTAACGTCCCAGCCCACCTCCTTCTCTCTATATATATATCAAAGACAGTTCTTTAAGCCAGTCCATCTATATATTTTTAAGAATTGAAGAGAGGGGGAGAAGAAATGTTGCCAAGAACTAATAGTATGCCGTGGATGGATGGAAACAAAGAATTGGAAGAAACAAATTTATGGACTCAAAACAATAATAATGGCGGTTTGGAGACTAAAGTTGATGCAGAACTTGGCGCGCTTTTTTCTTTTAAATCTATGCTTGAATCTGAAAATGAAAGCGGCAGGTACACGTCGGTCACTCCCACCGCGGCCAACAGCCATGAAATCAACATGCATGGCGGCAGCCACCATGAACTGGGTAACATCTCTTTTTCACCCAAATTTACTGATGCTAATAATAATCAACTGGTTTTACAGCAAGTGGATTCTTCTGCTTCATGCTCACCAATATCTGCTTCAGTTCGCAATTCTTTGGATCCATCTCATCAGTTAAACTATTTTCTGCCAAAGACATCGACACACATGAATCCAATTCACAACGATCATTTAGAGGGAAAATTTGATTTGGGTTATGATAATGGGCTTCTTGAAAGTGCTTTTAATCGGGGAACTGAGTTGCTGAATAGTGGTTCCAATGATTCAAGTACTCACTTCCAAATGGGCACTCTTAATTGGAGCTCTAATCATCAGTTTTCAAATACCAATTTGCTTCAACTGCCTAAATCCAGTGGGGGTTTTGGAGTACTGGGACTTGGGGAGGGTTCCATGAATGGGAATCCATTGTTCTTTAATAGGTCTAAGATTTTGAAACCTCTTGATGATTTTGCTTCAATTGGAGCCCAATCCATACTCTTTCAAAAACGGGCTGATCTAAGGAAGAATCTTGCTAGTGGGAGTGCCAGCAATTTGTCGGCTTTGAATTTAGGTGGTGAAATCAATCATTCTCAAAGTTCTACTAGCCTTGAAGGATATGACAAGAAGGGGGAATTTAGTCATGTAAATGAGAGGAAGAGGAAAAACAGTAGCAGGGATGATGGGGAGGATTTTAGCATTGACGGGTCGAATTTGAATTATGACACTGATGATCAATTTCTCGAGAATAGTACTATCAATAACGTGGAAGAGAGTGGTAAAAATGGCGGAAATAGCTCGAATGCTAATAGTACTGTCACCTGTGGTGGTGGTGGTGGAGCTCACAAGAGTAAGAGGAACGGGCTTCCAGCGAAGAATTTGATGGCCGAAAGGCGCCGGAGGAAGAAGCTCAATGACTGGCTTTACTTGTTGAGGTCTATTGTACCAAAAATTAGCAAGGTATGAATTTCTGTACATAAACTTCTCGTGAATTGTCACTTACAGTTATCGACATGTTTTAGTCATTTGCATTCATCCAATCTTTCTTCTTTGTTTTTTTTTGTCAAATTTTAATTTTGGTTTAATGTTGCGCGTTATTTTTGTGTATATCATTGATGAGTAGCAATATTTTGATACGCATATTTGTTCGAACAGCATGCGCATTAAAGTCGTAAGATAGTGTTAAATTACTCACATGAAGTCTATGAAATGATTTCAAAATGTGTAGCAAGTTTTGGACCACAGATAATATTCATTTTGAACACTAGAATTTATTTCTTCAGAGACATTTTGAACAAGATTATAAAATTTGCAAATTCTGAAACTATACTTCTGTAATCTGTAACCTTTTAATCAGACTCAGGTCTCATCCCTCTTTATTATTTTACACTTGCCTATTTCTTCTCTTTCGATTATTCTTCTTTTCAAGTTCTTCGTCATTCTAGCTTTCAAGATAACCATTTTTTATGCATGTGTCTTGTACCCATCTAGTGCATCAGTCTTGCACATTAGTTTCTAGTGCAAGCGTCTCACATGTTAGTTTCTAGCTAGTATCTGATGCTTGTGTCTCATACGCTATCTTGAATTTAAAGTTTAAAAAATCTTCCTATTCTCTCGTGTTATTATTATTATATATTTATTTATTTTGTTACATTAAAATCATGTACAATGGAAATAACACATTTTTAGATATTAGTTGGATACTTTTTCTTATATATTGATTTTCCTAATTTACTTCATGAATGCATTTCCTAACAAGGTTGAATAACTTCATGGTTCATACCAAACATATGGCCATGCATGTCTCCCTGTAAAATTTACTCCTTAGTCTGACATTTTCCTGAACCATCTACTTAACTCACGGTTCATGGACGCGCACACATTAGGCATGTGCATATATGGAGCTATGTTAGTCTCTTCCCATCTAACGATAGACTTTTCCGCACTTGATCTTATATTCAGGAAACTTAGAAGTAATGTAAGTGTGTACTTAATTTATGTTTCTGATTTCTTAATTTATTGCATGGCAAAAGAAATATCCTTTTTAAGATCCATGGATATTTGGATATTATCTCCGTCTAGATCGTGAGATGAATTACCAGAAAGGTATTCTGAAAATCCGCCTAATACTATCTTTGTTGCTCCCTTTTGAAGAAAGGGAAGATATCGATCTTTTGTGGCATTGAAATTTACTGCCCTCTGAACTGCTTTTGCACCTATGCCTTTCTTCTGTGTTGACAGATGGACAAGGCATCAATACTAGGAGATGCGATTGAGTATTTAAAGGAACTGTTGCAGAAGATCAATGACCTCCATAATGAACTGGATTCCACCCCTTCTAGCTCTTCATTGTCTCCTCTCTCGATGGTCTATCCTTGGATGCCTACAACACCAGGCCATCCGTGCTGTATTAAGGAAGAACTAGGCCCAAGTGCATTTGCAAGTCCATTATCTAGCCCAACAGGACAACCCACAAGGGTGACTTCATTCATTTAGTTGCAAAATTTTCCAATTTTTGTTATTTTTAAACATTTATTCTTGACAGTTTTTTAAGTTGGATTCTCGACTATTTATGATGAGTCCTTTTGGCATTGATTATTTTCTTGTGGAGCATGTTTGAAGTTAATGAATAGTGCATCCACATTTGCAGGTTGAGGTAAGGCTAAGAGAAGGAAGAGCCGTAAATATTCACATGTTTTGCGGGTGCAGACCAGGCCTTTTGCTCTTCACTATAAGGGCTCTGGAAAACCTTGGCCTAGACATTCAACAAGCTGTGATTAGCTGTTTCGATGGGTTTGCATTGGATATCTTTCAAGCTGAGGTAAGCTTATTTCTTTCAAATTTGAACACTCCTGTCCCCTTCCCGGCTTCCCCTTCCCAGGGCTGGTACCTGAAACAATACTAGTTTAGAAAGATACTGGAGAGATTAATGTTGTCACCCTATCAGCGCACGGAGACGCACTGAGACTGAAATATTTTCCCATTAATCAATTAATGCACTAGAACTTTTATCTGTGTAACAACTAGTGTAGTTATAGTGCTCCTTATAGAAAGATAATACCATGCTAGAAGGCTAACAGGGAGATTAATTACATCACCAAAACAATTGGGCGCACGAGACACATTGAGAATGGAGTTCTTTTGCCCATTATTCAATCAATATTTTGGAGATTAAAACTTCTATCTCTGTAAAAAACAGTATACTTTTAGGACGCCCCTCCCAGGGCTGGTACCTGGAAAAATAAGATAATGGAGATTAATATTTTCACCCCATCAATTGGGCACAGGAGACGCACTGAGACCGAAATATTTTTCCCATTGATCAATTAATGCATTACAACTTTTATCTGTGTAAAAATTAGTGTAGTTACAGTAGTGAGATAATACAATGCTTGAAGGATGATAAGGAGATTAGTTACATCACCATAACAATTGGGTGCTCGAGATGCATTGAGACTGGAGTTCTTTTTCCTATTAGTCAATCAATATTTTGGAGATTAGAACTTCTATCTGTGTGAAAAACAGTATATCTGTAGAACACCTCTGCCCCTCTCCTTCCCAGGGCTGGTAACTGAAACAATACTGTGTGAGAAAGACAATGGAGAGATTAATTTTCCACCCCATCAATTGGGCACACGAGATGCACTGAGACCGAAATATTTTTCCATTAATCAATTAATGTAAGAAATATTATTAGATGCAATACAATAAAGTGTAGAAATAAAAACTTATCGATTAATCGAGTCTCGTGACAGCACGATATCCTAAAGTGAAATTGCACGTCGATAACTGTTGCGACCTCTGTTGACAATCACCTCCAGGATACAATGATCAAATAAACCAATTGTGCAGCAATCACAAATGATTTTCAGAACTCTAAAGTGTACTCCAGAAAATATGTAAAATTGAGTATAATATTTTTTCTGAATAGGAAGATACAATTCTGTATTTGTGATAATTTTCTAATGCCCAAATGTGTGTTTATATAGGCAGAAAAACGATGTAACTGCCTCCACCATGATCCAGTATTATTTGTAAATTTTATGATTAGTGGTAATGAGTTGTTAATACTGGACAGTTAAAAACTGTCACATTTTATTGACTAGTTGACCCATTAAATAATTTTGAAATTGATTAAAAATAATAATTTATTATTAGAATCAATTAAGCCCAATGTCTCAATCAAAGACTTTTAATATAATGCGTGAGGTGTGACTTGAACTTTCGACCTCCCACACAAATTCCACATTTTTCACCAAGAGTTTTGCTACACAAACATAATGCTTGACATAGGGGATGACACAACACACACATGGGGACGTCTGCATTATTTAATTCAGGTCGGGACCCACATGAAATGTGAGAGATCAGTCAACCCCTATGTAAAGCATTATGTTCATTTAGCTTAATTGTTTTACCAATTGGGCACTTTATTTGAATTAGTTTTTTTTTCACATATTATATTTATGAGTTATGCTACACTTATCGAATTTTTTTACTAAATCTTTTACACCCCACTCACATTAGGGGGTGGGGACCACAAGCCGGAATTTTAAAATACGTGCGGGGGTCGCGCTTTTTGTGAGAGGAGGTAAACCATTAGGTAACCCCCTCTGGCACACTAGATTAATTCTATATTTATTGTATAAACATCTATTAATTAATGCATTAGAACTTTAATATCTGCATAAAAATTAGTTTAGTATAGTGTTTTTTTGGAGCTCCTTGCAACTCAGTTCTACTTGATCGTGTAGGCAATATATCCATAATGATTACATCCGTGCAAGTAAACATGCAACAAGTTTTATTTTTGTACATTGTACATGCAACTCAGTTCTATGATTGGATGAGCAGAGAATATTTATGTTTTATCTAGTCTTTCCTAAAGAAACAAAATTTTTATATATTTCCACAGCAGGGGGTGGGATACCATCTTTGTGAGGTCCTTCGATTACTGATTGTCAATATTTGTCATTGAGATTGCTTTTTTTTTTCTTCCTGATTTTTTCTTCAACAATGTTGTCTTCAGCGATGCAAAGAAGGTCAAGACCTACATCCAGACCAAATCAAAGCAGTACTCCTAGATTGTGCCGGCTTTCCTGGGATGATTTAAGGATTCCCATACATTGAAGTGGACAAGTTTTACCTACAATCTTGGATGTTAAACTCCATCTGTGGATTGACGATGTGGCAGTGTGACTGTGATCTTTCTTATGAGAAACAACCTTATGAAGAAAGAAAACTAGTTGAAGTACTTTGCTTATGAAGTTCGCCAGTTTTCAGTTTACATTTGTTGGAATATTCTCCAGTCACCAACAATCAGCTCAGCAAACCATGCAACAGATCACGTTCGCGAGCACATGTTCAACAGCCACTCAACAGATCACGATTCATCAGCTCTTCCAACTTACAGATTCTAGCTTCTTCTAGTTCCTTCTTATGTTTGTTATCTTGTTAATTTGTTAGCTATTTTCTCTATAACTAGAATAGATTGCATTGTAATTTCCTTAAGCAAGAATGAATGAAAGTTCATCTTCTTCCTAGAATAGATTGCATTGTAATTTCTTCAAGTTGAATGAATGAGTATTCATCATCTTCCATGCATCCAGCAGGCCTATCCCTTTTATTTCTCTGTCAAATTTCGTTCCTTTAATTTCAGCTTCAAATCTCATTTCCTTCCTTGATTTTATCAACATTAATCAAGTTGCTGTTTTTTTTTTTTCCTCTTTTATTTGGACAAGTTTCCCTGAGGCACTGAAACTTGAACGATTTGGTAAACATATCACCTTTTGAACAATTTGGTAAATACACTAACTGATCAAAGCACTGAGAGAGAGAGAATATTCAGACTAGGATTGTTGGGAGCACTTCCCGTAAAATAGGCATATGCCGCGAAACCCGTGATGACGAGCACGTGGCATTCTTTATTAAAAGGCGAAAGAATAGTTCACTTTGTGCTCATCGCACAGCTGCTTGCTTTGCCAAGTTAACGGGCCACTTGTTTTACATCCGTTGCTTCCCTCCTCCCCAACGTTAGGAACCGATGTGGCCTGTGCGAAAAAACAAACCCATCAATTCAACTAACGACTTCTATTCACAGTTCACTGACCAAATCTTCAGCTGTATAACCCAATAAAGCATGTTTGATGTTTGCCTAACTATTATGGAAAGAGTTAAAGTTACTTATAAGTAGCTTTTATTTATAGATAACGTATTCTTAAACCCGAATGAGTAACAAATGAAAAATCCATGTGGTTATTAAACTTGACATCGCACATATCAAGACCAACAATTTTTCGGTAAGTCTGCCTACTCATTCTCGGAAAGTTTGTTCTTGCACACAAGATATTCAATTTATGTTCTTGTGTGGGAGACATTATTCGAAAAGTGAATTTTTGTAAAAATGTTTTGTTAAAAAATAAGAAAAAGTTTATAAAGAAACGTGATTTTTTTAAATATGAATGCGTAGTTAAAAATGAGCAGGAAGCAGAGATTTTCAAAAAAATTATTTCGCACAAGCACTATATGCAATATGAAAAAGTTGAAAAAAAAGGAAATATTTTGAGTTTGCGAGTAATATTATTTTATTAAAAAATACAATAATGATGTCAAATCACCGTCCAAGAATAAAATGAAAAAATGGAGCTGCTAAAACAAGAGTGTAGGTTGAGGGATTAAATTGAAATAAACTATAAATAGAAGACTTTGAGTGACCTCCCGTCTTCTCTCCCCTCACAATTTCCTCTCGCGGAGAAACAAACGTCGTCTTTTGAAACCGAAAATGAGCGGGCCGCCATTTATGAAGAAACGAAAACTCGAAGTCAATGAAAAAGGAGAAGATGAAAGTGAAAATGTAACAATAGACGAGCAGATTATGAATGACCAAGAAGAAGCACTTGTGCTCCTCATTGAGCACCGAACCAAAGAAGTCGAGCACCTTCGCCAACGCATCGCTTATTACAAATCTCAGGTTTCATAGAATTGCTTTCGGTTTTTTGTTCGTTTTATGGTATATTAGTTTCAGTACTACTGCATTTATTGTTGTCTTCCTTCAAATTTCCCCCCTTTAGGTGTACTGAGGAATTGTTATTTTATGGTGAATTCAATATGTTTATGAATTTCATGTAATGTATTAGAGGTTTAGGCTTGCGGGATTTTCTTGAGAAATAAATTTGATTATTGACCAAATTTGTGGTTTTCGCACAATTTACCCCCAAAATACAACTATCTAGAAGTTTCTTAGTGCTAATTTGCTACTTAGGGTATTTAATTGACATATCATGATTGTGGTGAGATGCTTGGTTTATATTATGATCTTCGCTATTAAAGGATTCTCATTTTTTGAGTAATGAAGTGCTGGTGGAAAATGTGGGTGAATGGAACATTGATTCTCAACTGATTTATGTAACAAGTGGAAATTTTTTTGGAGTGTTTTTGAGTTGATTTTTCTTTTGTATTTTTTGTATGTTGTATTTTTTTTTTGGGGTGGGGGGGGGGG